GCTGAGCTAGTCCGGAGGTCTGTTTATGTGACAGGTAAATGACCAGGTGTAGGCTCACACGTAACAGAAAAATTGGCGCTCAACTTGTTTATCGCCCAGCTAAGTGAATTGAGTGAAGTGAATTGTAAGGAAAATTTAGTGGTGAGTACCTAGAAATCGGAAAATCTGAGAACTCTAAGAAATACCCAGGTATAAAAGGAAGGATTACTGAAGAAAATAAAAGTGAAAGAGAAAAGTGAATTGAAATAGAAAAAGTAAACTGGAATAAAAGAAGATAATTGAAATAAAAAAAAAAGTGAATTGAAAAAAGAATATAATTGATAGCGAAAAAGTGAATTGAAATAATGACGATAATTGAAATTGAAAAAGTGTATTGAAAAAAGTAGATAATTGAAATTGAAATAGTGTATTGAAATAAAGAAGATAGGGGAGCCACTGTAGCGCTGCTTTTGTAAACACGTGTTTATTTATGCTGTGAAAAGAACAATAATTTTAAAAACAAATAAAACTCCTACCAGTGTCGAACTACTTTTTATTGAATTGTAACGTAGCAACAAGTGTATTAAACTAAAAAGTGCAAAATTTCGCGTTAAATTTTTCAGAATTTTTATAATAAAGACCGAGTGGCCAACTATTTAAGGTTAGGTCTACAATCAGTGTATATAAACAGCATCTGATAAATACTAACTACATGCCATTAAATTATAACCAGCAAAATAGTGTGACCGTGACTCAGACTCAAAATAATCCAGATAAGTAAATGTTAGACTCGGGCTTGTCCAAATGCGGACAGGGTTTAGTCCTTAGCCTATAATTATGGTAAACAACAGCTTAAACCCGGACGGTGTTGAACACAAGCCCTCCAACTCACCCGCCAGCACCAAGAAACCTGGGGCCTCCATCAAAGCGCTCACTTTTACCCGAGAAAAAGCTGCATCGATTGGCGACATTAAGGATTACTTTAATAGGAAAAGGACATTTGGTGACAGAGACCCCGAAGACTCACCATCCGATCAAGAGGAAACAACCCAAGCAGCCAAAAAATCGTTCAATCAATCCTCCAACTCCGCCCCTCTCGTGTCAGATCCTAACGCGATGATGACAGACCCGAGCAACACTGGCGAAGATCACTCCATCTCAGCTCTTCTAGGAAGGTTAACAGAACAAATAGTGCAGTTACAGACACAGGCTAACAACAATACCGAAACTCTCAAAGAACAGATCAAAAACTGTCAGCATGAAAACCAAAATGCCATCCAAGCCATCAGAGATGACTTCCTAAAGAGTGAAAAACAATATTGGGTCAGATTGACAACATCTCGAAAAGACAAGACAAACTAGAAAAGGAGATTGAAGCACTCAAGTCTGGGAACATCACGCTGTCCACCATAAATCCTTCCATGGAAGCTGAAGCCAACAAGGCCAGACTCCAAAAGCTGGAGGACTTGGTTAGCCAACAAGAAAAAGCCACAAAACGTCTTAATATTATAGCCAAGAATCACAACTGGCGTAGACCAAACCTCATACACCAGATAAATACATTCATAGAAGATAAATTCAGCTTAACTAATGCAGTCACTGATGTTGTCCCACTGCGTCAAGACAGTAAAGTCTTAAAAATCAAAATTAGCAATGAAAAAGCCAAAGATACAATAATGTCTGCCAAGCGCACGGTTCTAAAAGGTTCGACCCTGTCGCTAAACAACGAATACACTAATAGAGAAATTTATGGCCTAAAGAAGATTAAAGAACTCGCAGCTGACATGAGAAAAGATGGCAAGAACCCGAAAATAAAGGGTACCAAACTGGTAGTAGGCAATGAAATATTCGTCTGGGACTTTTGGGACGATCAGCTCAAACTATTGAAAAACCGCTCTCTAAACAGCCAAAACAACTTCACTCCCACCCCTTCACCACCAACAATTTCAAAAAACTGCTAATCTTATCGTGGAATGCAAGAGGCATGCAGAATCTGTTCAGGCACACATTCTTTCCGCATCCTGACATAATCTGTCTATGCGAGACCTGGGCAACAACAGACTTCACTCTTCCAGCAAGTCTCCAAGACTATACACTCCATATAGCTCCAGTTACTAAGGAAAAAAGTTCAGGACATGCCAGCGGAGGCATCGCTATTATTGCCAAAAAATCTTTAAACATCACCATCCTAGATTCGTCAGATAGCTGGCTCATAGCAAAGGCCACTTTAGGTCCTACCAGCATCATCATTGGGAATGTCTACTTACGCCCTCAACGCAACATAGCATCCTCCCTGGAATTATTACAACTCGCGATTGATGAGATCACACAATCACATGAGCATTACGCCTGCTTTCTTACGTGCGACTTCAATGCTCACGTTGGTCCTCTGGGCCAAATCTCTAAGGAGATCATCCTCGGGACCAACTTGACTGAGCAGAGAATCTCCAACGATCAGAAAATAGACACAAAGGGCCGCTTACTAACTAACTTCATGCTTGATAACTCTTTCATTCTCCTGAATGGAAGGACGCCCAGCGATTCACCTGGCAAATTCACCTACTATGGCAACGGACTCAGTACTATTGACTTTGATTGGGCCAACATACAAAGCCTGCCTATGATCAATGACATGGAGGTTTTACATGTCGAAAACCCCTCCGATCACTTCCCTCTACTGCTGACGATTCTGAACCCACACTGCGCTGCCTCAGCCGAACACAGCACATCAACAAGCAAAGTTGTCAAAACTACCTATCCCTGGTTGCCGGCAAGTCGCTCGGAGTTCAAACTACAAATGCTACAATCAGCCAAGATTGTTGTGGATTTCAATAACACCCCGATAGACGACCTCAGCGAAAATTTATATAATGCCGTCATCGAAAGTGCTCAATATGCATGTATGGTTAAGAAATCTCCCATCCCGAGTTACTACAGAGAATCTCAGGAATGGTTTGATGATGAATGCAAATGTAAAAAACAGGAGCTAAAAAATCTATTCACACGATTTAAATAAGCAAACTTCAAGGACCCAGAAAAGTCAGCTTACATTAACGCCAAAAAGAATTTCAAAGTGCTTGTCAAAAACAAAAAGCGTCAGTCGCACAAGAAAACTCTGGAATCCTTGGCTAATATAAAAAACGCTGCTGACTTCTGGGCTACTATCAAGAAGCATAGAAAGAAGCATAAATCCAATGCCACTCCTATTGACATAGAAAACTGGAACTCATTCTACGAACTGATAATCCCGCCGAAGGAACCGGACGATACATTATTCTATGGGGTACTAGACCCCTCACTGGACCTAAATTTTACTATTGAGAAACTGAATTCAACATTAAAACACTCTAAACCAAACAAAGCTGCTGGTCCCGACAAGGTCAAAGCCGAGTTCTACAAATCACTGCCATCTAACTGGAAATATTATACGCTCTGTCTATTTAATAAAGTATTAGACACCGAAACTATACCCAGCAACTGGTTCTCTACTCTGATAACGATGCTTCACAAAAAAGGTGATCGTGGTGATCCCTCAAATTACAGAGGTATCGCACTCCTCAACCATATCACCAAGGTCTTCACATACATGCTTAACAAACGACTGGAAAAATGGGCACGAGTCACTGGGGCCATCCCTGAGTCGCAAGCTAGCTTTCAAGCTAAAAAAGGCTGCACAGACAATTTGTTCAACTTACTCTCGGCAATAAACTTCCGAGTGCGTCAAACTTCGGCCAAACTATACATCCTCTTTGTGGATTTCAGGAGAGTCTTTGACTCTGTCAACCACAAGCTCCTCTGGTTAAAGCTACACAAACTAGGTGTCAGGCAAAGCTGGTCAGACTGCTCCGCAAAATGTACAGCTCTGCAACCCTTAAAATTCAAAGCAATGTCAGAACAACAAAGGACTTTAACGTCGCAGAGGGTGTCCTGCAGGGCGAAATATTGAGCCCGCTATTTTTCATCCTATATATTGCCGACCTCGAGGACTTCTTCAGGGACAACGGAAGCATAGGTATCAATATTGAGAGTAACAGTGACATACTGACCCTGCTGTACGCTGACGATCTCACGTTACTCGCTCACTCCAAATCTGATCTTCAGAAGAAGTTAAATCTGCTCACACAATACTGTCAATCAAACAAGCTAGTAGTTAATGTTGACAAAACCAGAATAATCTACTGCCGCCTCGCTGGCCGTCTACCAAGAGACTTGAACTTCCGCTTTGGCGACCAAAAAATTGAGATCACCGAAAATTATGAGTACCTAGGTCTAACTGACTCGGCCAGTGGATTCAGTCACCCGCTGCAATCAACGCCGTCAACAAAGCTCGCGCAGCTCTCAGCTCAGTCATCGGAATCATCTTCTCAACCAAAACCGACTCTGTACCGTGCATTATGAAACTCTTTGACAGCATTGTTCAAGCTACTCTTCTATATGCTTCACCTATAAGGGCATTAGCGAACCTTGAATTCATAGAAAAGATTCAATGTGAGTTTTTTAAACGAGTTTTCGGCCTGCCAAAGACCACGGCCGGTGCACTATTAAGAGTGGAACTTGGCAGACCTCGACTAGCGTACTTTGTACTGAAGGCAACCTGGGACTGGATTTGCAACAAAAATTATAATTTGTCAAAAAATTTTTCTATTTTAGATTTACTCTTATAAAAAAAAAAATTATTTTACAAGTAGAAAAAAAAATTTTTTAAAAATATTAATTTTTGAATATTTAGCTAAAACTTTTTTTTAACCCAAAATTTGAAATTTTTCACAATTTGTTTTTAGTTAAAAAATTGACATGTTTCATAATTTTTCTTATCCCAAAATTAACATTTTTGAAAAAAATTTTGAAAAATTTTTCTATTTTAGATTTATTGTAAAAACAATATCTATTAAGTAGAAAATAATCTGATTATGTTGATTTCACACGCCGTGAAAATAAACAATTACCGAATTTTACAATTGATAATAGAAGTATAAGATAAATATTAATAAGATAAATATTTGAGAATAGGAAACTAAATTTTTATTTTGAATGTCTGTAGATATAATTATTATTATTATTCATTTAATTTCTTCGTAAAGTTCTTTTTATCAGATTCCACTTAGAACTTAGTCATTTGAAGACGCGTCATTTAAAAAGTTTATGTGACTACTGAGATTCAGCTTTTTTCAGTCGGCCGTGTAGCGATGCGGGTAGCGCGTAAGTCTGGCGAACGATAGGTTCCGAGTTCGGTTCTCGGTTAGGGTAGTGCGATTTTTATTTATTTCTTTATTTACGAAGCGTATTAGGTTAATTTAACATAAGTAATTCTTTCCTCCTATCTCCTTACTCCTTATCTGTACAAGCTGGACAGTAAATAATCCCTGTTCGTGAAGAAATACTCTTTTTTTCCAAATTGGGAAATCATTCATTTTTGTTTTTTTGTTTAAAAATTAATTTATATATTTTTTTGTGCTCATAAACGATTTTTAGAGTAGTAATTGTAATAATTGTTAATTACAAATTTTTATGTTAATCACAATTATTATTAGTTACTACAACTTATTTTTTATAACAATAATAATTATTATTAATAATAACAATTATTATTGCAGCGATTAAAACAAAAAAAAATAAATAAATAAATGGGATTTCAGTTGGATATAAACCCGGACCGCCAAGAATTAAAAAATTTAACTTATTATTTATTATTATTATTATGTTTTATATTATTATTATTTTAAGCTTGGTTTGACCGTAATCGTGGTCGGATGGGACAAAACTCCACTAGTTACGGTGAAACCGGGCCTCAGTTTAAATGAGCTATCAATACAGCGCCAAGGCTGTTTTGACCGTAAAATTGGAATGAGAAAAAATTACGGTTAAAACGGAACTCGAATTTCGACTGGGGATCATAATCCAGTCATTACCCGACTTCAATACTTTTTATTTTACATTGGTGTTATGAAATTATAAATTAAGGGTGGTATTCATCCAAAAATATAGTCGCAAAAAGCTTTTTTTCGTAAATGCGGAAAACGTTTGTTTTCCAAGCATTAATCAGTCTTCAACCTCATATCAATTTAATGATGTACTCGTTAGGCATCTGACAGAGTTTGATGTCAAAAATTAATAAAACGACGGTTATAACATATTTCTAGATATTCCTAGATATTTTTGTTTAAAGATGTTATGGATATAATTCAAGTTTTTTTTACATACCATCTTTTACTATTTGTAAAAAAAGTAAGCCGTATTGATTTTGTAAATAATTTGAAAATATGTTAATCAATGATATATATAAAACGGAAAAATATATTCGAATTTAATAATCGGAGTGAGTACTTCGTGCTTTTTTGGTGAAACCACCGTAATAGCTGAAAATCTAAACATCGTAAATACACCATGGCAACTCTGAGGGTGCACCGTGGTTCTCCGGTGCTCCTACCAACCTCATCACCCTTGGAAAGTAGTCGATACTTCGTGTTTTTTCGATGGAACCACGGTTGCAACCAAAAACCTAAACACCGTAGATATACGATAGCACCTCTCAGGGTCGCACCGTGGAAGCATCGTGGAACCACGAAGCGTTCACGGTGACTAAATGGAACAAAACCACTGTGGATCCACGAAGGACCTACTGTAGTTATTTGGTAGTTCTACTTCCACCGGGGCTCCACCGTGATTCAAAACCGCGAGGGAAACTGTTGACAAAGCTCCTTCTGATTATTTTTTTTTTTCCAATGGCAGAATATTACTTTTGCCATCAATTATAATATTATCATAACTTTTACGTCTTCATCTTTAAAATGCAGCATACAAATGTAGTCTGAATTTTTCAAAGTTATACCCAAATATTTAGTCCATTTTCCAATCGCCGTGATGATTCCTATTTAACAAATAATACAGAATTTTAGAAATTCGATAAATTAATGACCTAAACAATAACTGTTGTATAAAAATGATTTACGTATACCCGGGTAAAAAAGATTATATATAATTATACATAATTATATTTGAAAAATGGCCCTATATAATTATATATAATTATATAGAATAAGATATAATTAGATATAATGATATAGAATCATATATAATTATTTCTAGAAAAATAAAAAACAATCCGGCGAGCGCGGGGATTGAACCGGGGACCTGACGCTTTAAAGACTGACGCGCTACCTGTTTACCTACTTGAAACTCACTAGTAGAGCAGAGTTTGAAGTAACTACAACTAATGCAAATCGTAAACATAATCAATTTTTATAAGTTAACTAAATTAATGCAGTTCTTATTATTTCATCTCCAAAAATACTATAGATCAATAGATTATTAATGATTGGAGTAGCAGACTCTGAGATAAAAAAATTAAATACAATTGTACATGATTCATATATAATTATATATGATTTCCGTATAGTTGCACTGATAGAAGGATTTGTTTATATTTAATAAGCTTCATTAACTATTAATAAATGATTTTTCAACATCATAGGATTTAATTAATATTTATTAACAGTTAATAAATTATTTATTAAATACGATTCATTGAATGTTAATAAATAATTGTTAACAGTTAACAAATATTTGTTAACTATTAATAAATACTGATTAACTATTAATAATTGTACTTTCCTCCCAAATAAATATTTATCGAATGTTAAAAAACATTTGTTAAAATTTAATAAATTAAAAAATTGTCTTCAAACAAATTAAATTTCTAATAGTTAATAAATCATTCTATCAGTTTACATATCATTATATATAATTTTATATAATCATATATAATTTCATATAACTGTATATAATAATGTTTGTAACTTTTGTACAATTCTATAGAATTATATAAAATTAGATATGATTATATCTAATTATATATAATTATGTGGAATTATATATCATTATATATAATTATTGGAAAAATGTTACATCTAATTATATACTATTATATATAATCATATATAATTATATGCATTTATATATAATTATATGTAATTGTATATAATTATATATGATTATTAAAAAATGCTGCACCTAATCATATATTATTATATATAATCATATATCATTATATGCAATTATATATAATTATATGTAAGTAATATATAATTACATATAAATTTTTTTACCTGGGTAGGGAAAATAAAGATAATTGTTTATGGTTTTTTTTAGTGTAAATACTTCTAATAAATAGATGAATTTTTTGACGTACCGTGGCTTGGAAAAACGATAACAATGGACATTTTTCTTTGAACTTGACTTTTTGCGACCACTATCGCAATTTTTTACTGCACAAACTTTACCCATCATCCAATAATTTTTTAATATTACCTTTTAACAATTTTAAAGACGATATAAATTTTTTAATTTATTTTTGAGATTTACGTCCACAGTACTCTTTTCAGGTTAGTTAATTTATTTAATTGATACTTCCAATCCTCTACCTTCCAATGCCTCTATCTTCCATATGACTTAGGTTGTCAAGCTGAGTCAGAAAATAGCTGAATTTTTTAAAAGTTGCGCCATGAAGATGACTGCAATGGTTAGATTTTTATGAAATCTACTAATAAAGCGAGAGTAATATCACTAAAAATTAAAAATTATGAAGTAATTACTGAATGATCCATTACGAAATTTAACGCATTATTTGCAACTCTTTTTGTCAATGCACACAGATTGAGTAGAAATAAAACTAAGATTGAGTAATAAATGTCGTTAACATACTTTTTTGTGTTAATTTTTACGAAAAATTTCTTACTGTGTATGGTGTAAGCTACTATTACTTTTTTCGATGTTAAGTTATGAATCATGGCTTTCATATTTTTAACGTTTTGTAATATTCAAATTTATGCCACACCGCTGTACTATTTGAAACTTTAGAGAGTAAACCGAATCTCAGTAAATTTTACTGTTTACTTTTTTCGATGTAAGAAAAATATGTACATAGCGTATTTAATTTACGAGAGTTTCTAAAGCCTTCTGAAGGGTCTTGCTCTTGTCACCCTATTATATTGTATCATAATAGAGGGTGAGCCTGCAATAATTCAAACATCCCCTTTGACCGGAAATGATCGCATGCTAGCCGGATGTATCAATCAGACAGGTGTGTCCATAGAATAGACTAGAGATCTGCGATAGCTATATTACAGATCATTGCATACAATTATAAAGTGGAAAGAATATAAATTTATTATTATCAGATGAGACATTTGATAATAAACTTGATGAAAAGACAATAGTATATCAATTTTCCGATCGAAAGATATCACTCTTTGAAAAGAGCAGTCTAGAATATTTTGGTTAGACAATAGTAATTTTCGAGAATATGGAAGACAAAATTTCAGAAAGTCTTTCATCTTCTAAAAATTTTTATATATATCCAATCTCGCAATTTCTCGGCAGAATGGATAGATTTACTGTCGATCAGTTATTGAATATACAAAAATTATTATGTTTATATTTGTGCTCTTAAGCTTGATATTTATGATTCGTGACAATAGATTTATTTTTAATTTCTTGCTAAGAAAAATTGAAAATTTTTAGAAATTCGGGAAGTTATTAGTTTTACCGCTTTTTGCAGAAATCGAGTTTTCATCAGGTGTTGATGTTTTGAGGTTCTAGAACTCTTCCCTAACTATTCTTACGGTGGTGTCCTTACGGCTGTATGTGTGTGTGTAAAACTCTCATAACTTTTGAAACGCTTATTCGATTCAATCGAAATAAGCGGTGTTCCAAAGAGTACCATTGCCCTAAAATGTCTAATACTATTTCAAAAAATTCAAGTTGATAAATTTTGAGGAACCTCAATAATTAAATTTCGAAAAATTCATTTTTTTTAATCTATTTTGAATAGCTTGACCGATCGATTCTAAAAACTAATTAGCTCTTAACCTCAAAAAACTACGTTGATCGCTGCCAGT